AAAACTAGACAGAATTTGTGAGTTTATCTTTCATGAGACATGAGAATGAAAATCATACAAGATATGATTTATAGAAATGTGGACATGTAATTTCTTTAAGCGTATTAAACTCCTTGCTCTTGAATGATGGATTAACTTTAACTGACTAATTGTCAACTGTCCTGTGATGTAGCACCAGAATCACAAAAAGTCTCATAAGATTATCTTATGACGCCATGATGTACTTTACGAAAGCTTCATAATTTATACAGCCATTGGCATCCTCTTGGTTTTGCATCAGTTGCTCCACTTCATCCTCCCTCATCTTCTCACCTGAAATCAGAAACATTGTCAGCTTTGTGGATATCATTATTATAACTGGCTTATGAAATTAGCTTGCAATCTGACTCACCGAGAGTTGCAAGTACGTGTCTGAGCTCAGCCCCCATCACTGTACCGTTCCCCTCCTTGTCAAACACTCTTAAACCCTCAACAAAGTCTTCAAAGGTTCCACGGTCCTTGGCCTTGCAAATGTGTTGGTAAATTGGGAGGAACTGCTCAAAGTCAAGCATCTTAGTCTGCATATCTGTTCAAAGTAACATAAAAGGGGGAGAAAGATGTTTTTTCTGTTGTAAGGTTTGGATCATTTGCAACATGATTTGACCTTTAATTGTGTTTCATCTGAAGAGATAGGGTTGGGGGGGTAGGGTGGGGTGGGGTGGGGGGTGGGGGGGGGCTGGGGAGTTGGCATTGAAACATGTCCGTTTGGCATCTTATCATCATATGCTACTGTCTTAGCTACTGTCCAAGTTCAGCAAAGTCCCTTTTTGTTTTTTTTTTGTTTTTTGTCCTCCATGCTTCTAATGTGTTCAGTATCAAAGTATATTCTGGATAGTTCTGGATTCAAGTTAAGGAAACAGAATTACTCAAAAGCAAGTGCAAAGGAAAACAAGCTCCTCTTTCCTATTTAGGTTTGAGATCCAGGCAAGCACTACTGTTGGGATTGTAGTGACTCTCTGTGCAGCCAGGAGAGAAACATTGCAGTCAGTATCATAGAATGTTTTATCCCTAAATTTCTAGACCATTTTGTAGGAGGGTACAAAACTTTGAGTTAATTTTCTGTTTTCATCATTTTCCCTCAAAATTTTAAAATCAACCCTTAAAATAGAAATTTCCCCAACATATAAAAGATATTGCATAATTTTAAGGGTTTATTCAGTTTAATGTATATATATTAATCAACAATATAATTAACTAGAAAGATGGAATTCTTGCTTCAGATGAAATTTGCCATAATGATTTTCCACTGCTTTTAAAAACACAAAGATTGAGCTTAATTTTTTTACATGAAAGATATTTAAATTAGCTGGTATCTGTGGGGGAAAAAAGGTGAAAAAAATGGGTAGCAAACAAGGGCAGAATGAGTTTGAATGTCAAACAACTGACCTTCAGCTTTGGGCTTCCCAAGGACATACATGATCTCTGCGTTAGTGGGATTCTGGCCCAGAGCCCTGATCAGGTCACCACATTGGGCATAAGTTATTTTCATCTCGCTGGTTGGTGTTCGGTCAAACAGCTGGAACGCATCTTTGAAGTCTGTGAACAGAAAGAATGGTTAACATTCCTTCTGATTTTTTTACTTATTTCTGTGTCATCTAAGAGCATGTGCAGATTTTTCTGCAGCAATTATCTATAATGACATGCGTCGGATGAAAGGGAACAGTGCAGCTTCCCTGAAGGGTTGCACTCTACTTTGACTGACATGCACTTCACATAATTCAGAGGACTTTATATGTACGTTATTTAGAAAAATTGCTGTAGCATGTGTTTGAACTGGTGAATCACCAGCTGTTGCCAAATTTTTTTTGCACATTGAGAACTGTCTTGTGTGTGCAACCATTTATTCTCTATAAATAAGTCACAGCCCGTAAAACACAAAGCATAAATGCAGCAGCTCTCTGTAGTCTCACCCTCAAGTTGTTCTGGGGTGAATTCCAGCTGGGAAAAGACAAAGCAAACAGAAAAATTAGAAGACAGTTATCATTCAGAGCAGTAAAGATAAAGTAAACGAGTAAATATACTACTCAAATAAGAAAAAAAAAGGAAATATAATTAATAGGGTTAAAATAAAAATAATTTATTGCTTAAGAAAAATGTTGAAGTAAAAATTATTATTTGCTTTGCCATTATCCTATCCTATTGCCTTTTCATATTATTGGATATATAAAAAACATGGAATTTTTATTTTTGTCTATAGTTAATAAGTGACATTAGATCTTTCAACCCAGCCATACGACATAAACTCTGACAGTTAACTTTATTTAAATATGTTCTGTGCAGCAGTGTTTTTAATAAGCAGACTGCCAGATGTTTAAACTGCCTTGGTAAAAATATATATATTTCTACATGCTTTGCAAATAAATGTTTAGTTTTGAATAAAATATTTTAATTAATGTTTGTTAAAAAGTTTTTGCAGCTTTAGAAAGGATTATTATTTTTTACTTTCAGTAAAAAGCCATGTTCCAAAAATTTAAAAGTCCTGTCTAACATAAACTAATCAATACAGTTAAGCAGCCTTTTTTTTTAGAATAAAATCTCTTTTTTTTTTTTTGCTTCTTACTTCCTAAATTCCATGCGCATTTAAACCCTTTGTGAGTTTAATCAGGTTACTGTTTAATGTCTGGAATTTTACATTAACTTGAACCGAAAACCCCAGAAAGACAACACAATCCAGACCTTATCTAATCATGTTTAAGATAGACAGAAAAGTCTATAATTATCTATATTTTTCTTTCATCCGAGTTTTCCACCATTTTTCCCTCTAATGAATAGTGTGGGTGGTCTGCTATTTGCAAAAATAATATAAAAGGTCGTATTTCGTGGCTTTGCCCACAGTCTATTGTAGCACGGTTGGTCAACCTGAAAGAACATTCATCCTCTTAGAAAGGGGCCAAGTCAGCAGAAAGTAAACTTCCCAAGATGTTTAATGCTTCACTTATTTTGCCTGTGCACATACTACTTAGACAGGGTTACAATTCCCTTAAACAAGAGATTGCATTTCATTTTTTGGGTTTGAAATTTACAAAATTTTTTTTAGAGACAGAAAATAAGAGATTTGAAAAATAGTAATAAAACAATAAGCTGCGATAAAGTTTTAGCCTTGCACTGCCAAGTTAAGATCACTTGAGGTCTCTGATGTTCATCAAAAAATAAACAGCATTTTGTCTGAATAGAAGCAACAATGCAATAGGCAGCCAAGACAAATAAATGATCATTGGATTCGTGAATTAAAATGTCTTACCGTCACTGATGCAGGGTCAAACTCAGGAGTCTTAGGGCGTTCTGGTTCTGGGGGCTTGGGGGGTGCTGCAGCAGGCTTCGGTTCTTCCTTCTTCTTAGGAGCCATTTCTTAAAGCATTCAGGGAGGAATAAACAGCAAAAAGCTTGATGCTGTAGACAGAGTTGGATGAATATGCCCCCAATTTATCCTCTAGCCACAGGTGTCACCTCTAAACCCCCCTTCCTGTGTCCAACCAGGCAATGAACAACAGGGAGAGGACTATAAAAGGATATGGCTTTGTGCTTCTATTTAAAACAATCATTTGTTGTTCTCTGATTGTGTGTGGGTGTATCTGAGTGTGAATGGAAAAATACATTAGCTGAAATCCCAGGACAACAACCTTGTATTAAACAGACTATTTCAATCAGCACAAGTGAGACCTCATGCATATTTATCAATTTTTAATCGCTGACCTTGTTGCATGAAGAGTGGCAATTATTAGTAACGGGGGATGAAGAAAATGATGATTGTCAAACATGAGAGGAACGTTTTTTAAGTTCCTTCACCCACGAGGAATCAACAGCAATTATTCTTAATTATCATTCAAAGTTTCAAGAGAGAAAAGGTTATTCATAAGTCTTTGTGATGATGGCTGTTTGTCCCATTGGATTACAGGGATTCAGAGAGATGAGATTTAAATCCAGCTCAATACAGGGGACAGAGAATGTTGTTTCTGCCTGATCTCAGTCTTAGGGCTGCCAAAGAAGACCCTCTAATGCATAATCATGAAATAATAAAAGTTTAGATTTGATCTTTGAGTCAACATTACCACTCAAGTTTCAAGCTGAAGTTTCATTAAAATGCTAATTACCTAAATTGTAAGAATCAAGCTTCCCCACCATACTGATCTCAAACAACTTTTTATTAAGATATGTAGATTTTGGTTACGATGTCACTTTAGAGCAGGAGTGGCCAAATGGTGACCGTAGAGTCATTTGAACTCAGCTGCACCCTCAACAAAATGTAAACAGTCAAATATCCCTAATGGATTATCATATCTGCGCCAACTTTTGGGTGCCTGCTCGTGGACCATTACTCAAGAAATTAGCATTGTTATTTGATGAAGTCGCCAAAGCTCTGCACATTAACAATGTTTCATAGTACAAACAAAGAATGCATTTGTATATAGCCCCTTTAACTCTGGGACTCCTAAGTACAATTTAGTTTTAGTAACTGCTTTTAGTAGTTGCCCACATCATTTTACTTTCAGTGTAGATACAATTGTTTGGTGAAAGCCTAAGATGAAGAGAAAATTGAGAATTAATGGTTACCTCCTACTAGTGCGACAGTGGTGTTGGATGCAGGAATTTGCCCTGCAACCGGAGGGTTGTCGGTTCAAACTTTGCTTTGGCTTTCAGTTTCATTTTGTCCTTGGGCAAGACACTTCTCATGCATGACCTACCGATGGTGGTCAGAGGGACTGGTGGCACCAGTGTATGGCAACCTCTCTTCTGTCAGTGAGCTCCAGGGCAGCTGTGGCTACCATGTAGCTTGCCACAATCAGTTTGTGAGTTTGTGCAGGAACGGGTGAATGACTGAATGTAGTGTGAAGTCTTTTGGTCAAGTCCTATGGCTTGAAAAAGAGCTATATAAGACCTACATCAAGACCAGGAACATCATCTTTTTCAATGGCACAAAACTGCCCATTTGATGTTTGCACAAAAAGACCAAATATGGGAAATTGAAAAAGACCTTATAATCTTGACATTCCTGATGGCTTTCCTGGCATAAGGAGATCCCTCTTGAGTGTTTTTCAACACAGTACAGTGTAGAGGACACCATCATGATCTAGACAGCTTTTTCCTTTTCCCTTGTTTAAGTTTTATCCCTGTTGGAAACATATTTTTGCATGTGTTTTCACAGTAGATCTTGGACTTTTCCTTATTTTCCTCACAACTTAGAGCATTGTTTACACTTGTTATTGTGTATATACACACAAGGCCTTTATTTACTGACAAAAAAAAAAAAAGAGTAAAAAAAATAAATAAAAAAATGCAGCGGCAGAAGGAAGTATTGTTTTCTTAGAAACCCATTGTATGTAATCAGAGTGAGCTACCTGTATGTAATGGTTGTAGTAACTGAAAATAAGCCAAAGATGGATATGTTGGTAAATTAAAATGTAAAAGGAAATAAAGTTAAATAGGTTACTGTCAGCCCTACTCCTCTGTCCATTACTGACTGGCTGCAGCAACAATGTACAACACAACCACCCACATAACATTAAGATCCTAAAACATCTAAGACCTGTGTGGTTTGCTATTTTAGTTGGTCTGTTGTCTAGCTGGTATGTAGTTTGGAGGGCCTCCAACCTGTGGACAAAGCCAATTGTTACTCTAGCACAGTAGATGACCTTGAGTGCAGCTGAACTAAGCCTAGACAAATACATTGATGTTAAATGACGAGCCCAAAATAGCAAGGCGTTTCTTCTGAAGTGTTTTCCAAAATAATATTTTGGTTAAATAAAAGTCTCACTCTGAACTTGGATGGGTTCTGAGGCAATGTGTTGATAAAAGTTACAACAAGCCTTGGGACAGTAGTGGCCAGAGACAAAGGAAATCTTTTAGTGAGAAAAGTGTTGTGAACTTTTAATAATAGGTATGTATATTAAACCATCATTTTTTTTTCCTTCAGAGTATGTGTAGAACACCAAAACTTTATATGTGTTCTCATTCCCATGTAATATATATACCGGTGTATATATATATATATATATATATATATATATATATATATATATATATATATATATATATATATATATATATATATATATATATATATATATATATTTATCTGAGTATAAATTAATCACCTCTGATTTATTATAAATATCAATTGGATCAACCGGTTCTACCTAAGATACACAGACAATAAAGGTTTTTTTCACTGCATTAATAGATAAGGACACATTTTTGAAAACATTATGTGGGCCTACGATGATACCACTCCACAGAAAACATTCACAAGGACTCTAGTGTTATGCAGCATTTGAAACACCAGATTAATTCCTGTTTGATTTGCTCAGCAAGTTGTCAGCTTCACAAGTTAGTGAGTGTACCATACTGAGAGAGTGTGTAATTGAACTGTCACCTATCCAAGTAAGACTTATTGTAGAACCCAGTCTGCAATGATTAGGCAGAAATCCTGCCAGCACTAAGGGTCTTAACTTCAACATAGACTTTGTTGCAAACAGATTTGTGTGTTTTGTGTATGTGTGTGGGCGTTTAATTGTTTATGCTATCTATTGATTATGTAACCCACAAGAAGGGTCACTCCAATTACACCTGATAATAGTAGATGGTAAGTATGTTAATCACTTCGATGACTGATACCAACACACTACACAAGTATAAAGAAAGTTGGGCCTGATCAGAAGATTTTAAATTCACGGGAGCCTAGGTGTAAGCAACAACAGAGGAGAGCCCACAATATATATAAGAAAGGGTAGAATTTAATATACTGAACAATTGTGGATCCACATTTACAAATAAACAAGATTGCGTGCTTTAGAAAAAAAAAATTACTAAATAAAAAAAACAGAAATAATCCAGTCATTTCAATGTTTCTGTCAAATGTTCACTCAATGCCTCATGGCTAGTAACCGGTCGGGTCACCATGAATCAGTTCACTCAGTTCTCTGGGCTGAGGCTCGCCATCCAAGTTCTGAAGAGGAGGATCTTGGGGTGTCTTGGCACTACAGACCAAAGGTGCACCAAAACGGGATGGGGGAAAAAACCTGACCTGGAACAAGGCCAAAGTAAAGCATTTTAAAATATAGGATTCTAATATCAATAAAACTTAAGCTACAATTTAGAGATCTTTCCTCATCTCTCACATTTTTTTCATATTGTACAACAATATTCATATAGATCTATATTTCAATCTAAAAGTGCCAATGATGTACATCTATAACACTATTTTTAACATCAGAATGTGGATTAGAAACTCACAGAGCAGAAAGTTCCCAAGCAATGGTAACAGTAAAGCACCTTACATCACCATGAACCATGAATAGTAGCTTTGCCTCGTCTCTTCCTGTTTGGCTGTGACGTCATCCTGGAAAGAAACATCAGCTGTGCTGCTTCCATCAACACCCTTGTTTATAGATGTTGGAGATCGGCCTGTTTTCCAGTGTGGTCCTGTTTCTCTGACCGTGACTGAGTGGATGTGCTCTCTTCATCCTCTGACATGGGAGCTGGCTCGGAGCTCGTCTGCCTGGCTGTGTGTTTCCTGGACGGGGCCGCCTTTTACAGCTGCTTTTTGTATCTCTGTTTCTGTCTCCTTGAACCCCAGTCGGCCTCGGCAGATGGCCGCTCACACTGAGCCCGGTTCTGCTGGAGGTTTCTTCCTGTTAAAAGGGAGTTTTTCCTCCACTGTCGCTACAAGCATGCTTAGTGTGAGGGATTGTATTTGAGTCAATGAGTCAATGCAATCAACTGGTTTTCCTTAGACAGAAAACTTTGTATCAATTTGACTGTATGATCTGGTTGAACTGTAAAGTGCCTTGAGATGACATGTGTTGTGAATTTGGCGCTATATAAATAAACTGAATTGAATTGAATTAGCACTGAGTTATCAGAACATATCCTAATAGAAAAATAAATGCCACTACCTAGGAAAAAAAATACAACATACACAATAATACAAAAATACAACTTAGAATATCAGTAATTAGGTATTTTAGTCAAATTTCAGTGAATTTATTGCGCCAACTGCTGAGTGCGTGCGATCACTCACTGATGCTCTGATGCTACATGAAGCTACACTGGGAATTTTCCGGATTCAGTCACTCACAAGGGAAGCTTTCTGAGATTTAATAAAACAGATTTACTATTTTGAATGATATATTTTCGAAAACTATTTTAACATTGTTTTTCCTTACCGATTTTTTAAGATAAAATTTTCCAGGATATTAGTGGAAACAACTGTCAGCTGTGAGCTCTCTGAGCAAAATCTCAGAACAGCAGTTAAATGGGCGGGACAATCAATCTTATTGGCTGATGTGAAATCAGCCTGTGCTAGCTATTGGTTGTTTAATCTGTCACTGAAAACAATTGCTAAAGGCTTATATCAAAGTTTTTAAAGATTTTTAGCAGTTTTTATCTATATTTATAAACATATTTAACTACTTAT